GACGTGTGCTCCAGACACTCTACTTAATAGAATTCTAGCTTAATAAATTTCTTGACAAGAGACTGTTGTTATTCCCATTTTGCAGAAAAAGTAATTCAGAAAGCTTCTGGAACAACTGGAAGTAGAGAGGCATGATATGAACCTGGCAAAGTTTCATGGTATTTAAAGCTCATAGTCGTAGAAGAGAGAAAAAGAGACATTTAAAAAACCTGGATTCTTAATCAGCTCCTAACTTTTTTCTTATTTATCATTTCATAGATGTAGTACATACATCACCCAAGGGCCTGAAGTCCAAGGGTTCAGGGAATTGCCTTAGGATGCTGTCAACTGCCTTCATGTCTGACCCTTAACCTTCCAAATGTTCATTCAGCCGTCCTCTGATTTTTTCCAGCTCGCATTTGCTGAATGTCTTCTATGTGTCCAGTGACTGTAGACAAGTTACTTAACTCCTCTGCATCTCAATTTTCACATCTGTAAAATGGGAATCGTAATATTTAAGATGAAAATTTGCTAGTAGACCAATGAAATTTGGATTTCTGAAAGTATCTCACCACAGTGCCAGGGACACAGTAGATACTCAATTAATTCCCAATTCTTCATTGCTTCACAATCTTTTTAAACCTTGAAAATCATCAGTTGTTTGATCATGAAGAACATTTATTGTGATCTAGGTTAATTTTTATAAATGCAAGTGGTAAATGTTTCCATTCTTTATATATTAAACCAACAAATGGAGTTGTGAAATTTAGTGTATTTCATGATTTTAAGTTTAAAATATCCTCATAGTCCCTCCTTTCAAGTTATAAAATAATTGTTCTTTCCAGATTTATTTGCACTTCTAAATTGAAGTTGAACTGTGAAAATAGTTTTTACAATTACACTGTGATTTATAGAAGAGGGATTCTGAAAATCAGTGAGACTGTAAAGCCCACAAAGATGAACAGACTCCTCCTGGGGAATTTATGAACCTTGAAAACAGCTGAGAGCCCCTGGTTGCTTAGTATAAAAATATGATTATTCATTTACTCCTCTTACCTCTCACCCCCACCCCATGTCATAAATCTAGTGTTACAACATCAAAGTGAAATGGTTAGTGCTTTACATCACAGATTGTGGTGCTAGTCTCCCTTTGACAAAGGACATATTAGCACCTTGAGATAGATACACACCTGGGAGGCAGCCCTCTTGTTCTGTTCCCTATGTGGTACTGCTTATAGATTCCATGGGTCTTAGCAGCAGTCATGATGCATCGTGATTCATCCATGGGAGAGCTGGTTCTTGGACCCTAACTTCTCAGCTCTATACCACACACCAGGTTTGCTCTATACCACATACCAGATTAGGTTGGAGATAAGAGCCATTTAGCATACACAGTGATAATCTATGCACTCTCTGAAAGATAGTTGGGAAATTTTCTCCCTTTCTTTATGATACGAAAAGTTAAACTGAGAAAGTAAGTAACTTATTTGATGCTTCAGGTAGTAGTTACTGAGTACCTATTCTTTGCAAAGATATTGGGCACAAACATGATCCTTCAGTAGCAGCCTGATTGTTGAAATAAAATGGTTTTATAAGAGAGGATCTTCAATGAGATGCCTTTGATCTTGTCCTCTGGGACCAGGCACTAGGAGTGGAGGAATTAAGTATGATTAGCACTGATTCCAAGAACCGTACCGATCACCAAAGAGAAGCTGTGGACCAGTCTTTCCTTAACTTTGCAAAGGCTCAGTACAGCCACTATCAAAGCAAGGGCAATGCTCATATACGGCTCATAGCATTTATGAGGAATTCATGCAGTCATGTATGAGAACCTTCCACAGTTCCTGTACTAGAAATCTCATGGAGAGGATCAAAAAGCCCAGGCTGACTCTCCCTCTTTCCTAAGCCCTCATCTATTAGAAACTGAGCAAGGGTAGCATTCAGATCCCCACACTTGTACTCAGATCCCAGAATCTTATCACAGCCCAAACAACCTGTGACTGGGCTGCACTTTGAGGCTGGGGCTCCAGAAGGAGGGGTGCTCCCTGTGCACTATGCAGTGTGCCACCCTGGACCAACAGGTCCAGAGGAAACCCTGGACAGTGAGGCACTCTCAGCATTTCCAGGTGATTGTCAGTGTAGAGCCCCTCCCCAAATAACGTAACTGATGTCAAAGATCCATGACTCAAATTTAAACAGACAGAATTATAATATTGTGTGCATCTGTGTGCAATAAGAGGAGTTAGATTAAACTAATGGACCTTTGAATTAAATTTGGAACATCCTTGCTGCTCTGTAATGTTCAGCCATGGGGACTGAAGCAGAAATGGAAAGTGCAACCCTTCTCCTTGGACTCATATTCCTGGGCCTGCCTCCCTCCCACAAGGCTCACACCAGAGTCCTCCTTCCAACCATAGTACCAGCACCTTAATGGTTGCTCAGCTTCTGCTGGCTCCCCGCTCTGCTGAGCTGCCTAGTCAGTCTTCTCTGACTGGAAACTCAATATCCCCTGCAGAACGCCTGCAATCATGCTTAGAAGTTATTTGCATCCAGTCAAAAGAGCCTTTTAGTTCTAGTTCTAAATTGAGTGCCTGGGTGGTTTCAATCCCCTGATAAGCAGGCAGCTGGATTCTACAGCATTCACATGAAGCCACAGTCCTTAGTCACATCAGGGAATCGATGCATAAAACTGACAGTGCTGTAAATCTCTTTGTGGCAGATAAGAAGTAGAAGTAACGAGCTCTAGTCCGTAAACAGTTGTGCTGTGCGAGGAATGTGTTTTCAAAGGCACCAAGGCTTATGTGCCTTGTTTGGTTGTTAAGAGAACCTTGGGGTTTAACCGAGCTCCTGCAGGGAAGACATGCTGTAATTTGGCTCGGATGCCCCAACTTCAGTTCACATCCTGCAGCAATGCTTGCTTCAGGCCTGACCATGTGGGTCGTCTTCCTTCAACCATTGGGTTACCTACCATACCCCTGTTCTGCTTGATGTGGGAGGGGCTGTGGGGCAAAAGAGAGAAGGGCTGTAATTCCTGTTTTGCCATTTACTGTTCTCCTTGGCTAGCTCAAAAGGTTGGGGAGCGACTTACTGTAGTCACGTGTAAAGGTAACTAGCAGAAGGCTGAACAAAAGTAAGCAGTACTGGTACTCCCTTCTGGTCCCTGTCTGCTTTCACATGCGTCACGATCCCATTTTGCTAATTGTACCTCTTTTATACCTCAGTGTCAGACAAATGCATTCTCATTAGCACAGGCAGCAGATTTGGCCCTCTGCATCAGCCCTGTCTGTCCACGAGCCCAGCAATGCGCAGGCCAGCGTCAGTATTTATCTCAAGGTGACACTCGTAATGGATGAGTGCTGCACTTCTCAATCCATTTATGTAATCCTTCCTGCTTTGCTTGCAGTTATTTCCAGAACTTTAGCAGCAATAAAATGGTTCCCTTCCCAAGACAGAGTTCATTCAATTTAAATCTGGATTGAGTGTAGCTAAACTTATGACATATCTTTACAAAGGAAGAAAAAAAAGCAATAAATTATGCACCGTGATTATTTAGCATTTACTCAATCCACACAGTGTACTGGAATCAGTGTATAACAGTTTGGGATAAATCCCTACCCTTGAGAATCAAAACACAACCACAAGTATCTGAAAAGGCACTCACGGCAAGACATCAATCCAACTGTATTTAATTCCCTATTCTTGGGTCACCTGACCATTTGGCCAGTCTCTTTCTTACTCTGAATGAAATTTTCTGACTATAAGGGGTTAATGGACTCTTAGCCAACACTTGTGTCTTTTCCTTCAATTTGCCTCAGATATATTTTACTGTCATCATCCTTGGCCTTTGACCTTTGCCTCTAGAGACCACTCCTTACTGCTCCTGGAGCAGTTTTGGATTACGGCTAAGACACTCACTGGGGCCAGGTTAAGCATGGTGCAGGTCCTTGCATTTGTGGAATCCTCCTGTGGGGGCCTGGCTGGTACACTAAGACATGGTGGTAGAACATGAGCAGGCAAAGGGCTTCCTTCTCACTGCAGTCTCCTGAGAAGGCATTCAGTATGTGATCGCTAATTAGAGACTTTAGATGCCAAATGGGTAGATTTTATAACACTATTTAAAACGTAACTCAGGTAACAATACAATTCTAATTCAAGTAAATATTCATGACTTAGATTTGAAAGTTTAGTTTGACACTCTTAGTCTAGTAACCTCATTAGCCATAGCCCTTGATAAGCATTTACATAGAGAAATGGCCAAAGGAGAGAAATAGAAAGATGTGATTTTTTTTTAAAAAATCTGAACTCTTGCCTTTAAAAGGAAAGAAAATGAAAGGGAATCAAATGCATCAAGATGAATAATAATAGCCAACATTAACTGAGTACCAGGTACACTCAATTCAGTCTTGCAGATATTTTCATGTTTACCTGAGGAAGCAGAGGGTCAGAGCCAGTAAATAACTGCCCAACTAAAAGGAGACAGTGCCATGGTTCAGCAGATCTACAAAGCTCTAGCACTTAGCTACTCTACCCTGCCATGTAGGCTCCAATGCACAGTTAGGCACCGGTTAACAACACAGTAACTTTCCTTTAATATTTTGATTGAATTTGTAGTTAAAAGAAACGAAGACCTTTCTCTTCCTCATATTTACTTGTGAAAATTTCATTGCCAGGTATGTGTGTTAGAGTTACTGTCCCTGATGTGTCTTTGATGTAATTCAAGTTATATTTAACTAATGGTTTAGATTTAAGATTTATTGAGACTCAAAAATAATTTATGTTTTTCTAAGATAAAGGCAACTATTTTTAAATTGCCAAATGTTTCATTTTCTTGACTCAAAACTAAAAATGTAGCAGGAAATTTGAGCCAAGATAAATATTTCAGTCAATATTTTTGTTGTTGTTTTTATTGTGGATGTTGTTATTTTTGAAGGGCAGGTAGGATCCAAAGAGAAATTGAGCTAAGAAACTGTACCAGATAACTCCTTTGGTGCCCAGTAATGTGTGTGTGTGTTCATCCACAGTGGATCTGGACAGGCTCAATGATGACGTCAAGCGTTACAGTTGTACTCCCAGGAATTACTCAGTCAACCTCAGAGAGGAGCTGAAGCTGTCCAACGTGGTCTTCTTTCCACGCTGCCTCCTTGTGCAGCGCTGTGGAGGAAACTGTGGCTGTGGAACTGTCAACTGGAAGTCCTGCACGTGCAGTTCAGGGAAAACTGTGAAAAAGTATCACGAGGTATGTCACCCTCAAATTTCTTCTTCCCATGCTGCATTTAGTGCTTTTCTAACTGCATCAGTACTGTAGTCTACGGGGTCCCCTGATTGTCAAAAGACAGTGCCAGTTGGCTGTTCAGGTCATTTACTGAACAAGGGCACCCAGCCAAGGGGATGATTTTAAGCTAGGCTTGCCAAGTTAAGTGCCCAGGTGAAAGACTAACTCCACCCTGAAGAAGGAACCCCTGTCTTAAGTCTTCACCACATACCACGTGAACCAGCAGCCTTTAGACAGTTCACCGTCACGTGTAGGCTGCAGTAGTCCTAGCACTTACTTAACCTCCTCATAGGGAGAAGACAGTATTCATTCACAGGAAATTCCTGAGCAATTAGGCCACTATAAGGAAATGCTAAGAGCCAAATTTTGACCCGTTTAAATTATTGAAAAAAATAAGAATAGTAAAAATATAAAAACATGAACTGTCAGAGACATTTTCATTCTCTAAATATGAAGGAACTTGGTTTTTTTTTGGAAATGCTTCTTTTTTCTAAATAGTATTTAGTGCTACCTGGGGAATTTGCCCTTGGATTATGCAAAAGTAAACAAAAGTAAATATGAAGATTGAGGAACATAATTTTAAGGAGAGTAGTATCCTTGAATAATATCAGACGTGTAAGTATGTTTACTAGGAGCAGAACTGTCAGTTATCCTAGCAGCTTGTCAGCAATGCTGTAAAGAGATGCTCTTTCTATTCTCTTTATAAATGAGCAAACAAAGGCCTGAAAGGCCTGAAAGGATCAGTAAGGTGACCAGCGTGATACAATCAGGAAATCACAGAGTCAGGGCCTGAACTCTCCTCAGCTGCTTCCAGAGTCTATGTACTTATCACTTGAAATACTGTGCTCTCTGTTTAAATATATAGCACCTTATTGAGTATAAAAAAAAAGAAGAGAATTAAAAGGAGTTATTTAGGTGTTGGTGGCTCACACCTATAATCCTAGCTACCTGGGTGGTAGATTCGGAAAGATTGCAGTTCAAAGCCAGCCCAGGCAAAAAGTTTGTGAGATACCATTTCAACCAATAGCTGGGCATGGTGGCAGATGTCTGTTCTCCCAGAATGGCAGGAAGCGTAAAACAGGAGGAGTGCAGTCCAGGCTGACCTGGGAAAATAGTGAGAGCCTATCTCAAAAATATTCAGAGTAAAAAGGGCTAGAGGCATGGCCCTAGCAAGCATGAGGCTCTGTAAAACACACACACACACACACACACACACACACACACACACACACACACACATATGGAGCTGAAGCTGCTCTGACACTGACAGCAGCTGTAATTGCTTTCTTCTTGTAGGAACTTTACAATGAAGGTTAGAGACTCAGTTTCCACATATGTAAGATGGGGCTAAGACAATATACCAGAAAGCCCCTTCCAGGGTTGTTCTGAGGATCGAAAAGAGCAATGCCAATGAAATGCATTTTGTAAGGTATGAAACACCACCTAGAAATATGTCTTAAACTATAGGCTTGAATGTGAAGCAGACAGTATTGTTAGGAACTGTTATTTGAGTTGCTTCCCATCAATCCCAGTAAAACAAAGGAACAGATAGTTCTAAGTCAGATCTCCAGCTTTATAAAATTGGCTCTTGGGAAGGCTTTTTGGGTTTGATTTTTTAAATCCTGAAAACAATGCAATATTAATAAGTTAAGAGGCAATTTCTAGGCTAAATGAAAATGGTTCATTAAAACTGATGTTTTCCACCTGGGGAAAGTGGGTCTTGACACAGTAGTCATGCATCTCCCCTTCATTTTGATGGGGCACATTATTTTAGACTACGTGAAACATATATTCCTTTCATAAGAATTTCTTACTCCACCCCGTTTTCAAAGCAAAAAGCTGCTCTCATGTCTAGAGAATGCTGTCATCTGTGCTCATTGTGTTTTATTTTTGTATGAACAAATGAGCTCTCGATTTGGACGTGTCCTTCACATCTCAGAACTGGAACTCCTCCTCCTCCTCCTCCTCCTCCTCCTCCTCCTCCTCCTCCTCCTCCTCCTCCTCCTGAGATGTGAACTCCTGAGGACAAATGCAGAATGCAATAATCAGGTTAGAGTTAAAATAATCTAGGAAGTAACAAGGTCTTTACCTAGTAATAACTGTGAGGAACAACATCCAAGTTCAGGCCTTTGATGTATTTGTGGAGCTCTTTATTTTTATCTTGACTCTGCTTATACGGAAGTTTCAGCTTGAGTTTTAAAATTCCTTATTGTGGAAACAGCAGAGTTAATAATATACCCAAAAGGATTCTTGCTTCACAGTTACCTCTGAAGAAGTCTGAAGGGTCCAGCTACCTTACTCTTAGTTCCTTTCTTATGGCTATTTACAATAACAGCTACCTATAAGTTTCTTTCAAATTAATGTCTGGAGGGGAGAACCCTTGATCTCTTTGTTCAGTCATGAGTGGGTTCAAAATGCTGGCACTTTTGAAAACACACTCTAAAGCATCTCTTTAAAACACGTGTCATAATATTTTTACTTCTAGGCCTATGCAGAGCTCTATATAAAATCACTCTGCCAAGCGCTGGACAAAAGAACAGGGCAACATCAATCACTCAGTCAGTAACTGAGCACCTGGAACAAGCCCTCCTGTCATATTTCCCCTACCCTTGAAACGTGTCACAATTATCACTGTCAAGTGCCCAGTGGAAAACAGCAGAAGGCTTATCCCATTCGTTTGAGCTTACTCTCATTAGGGAAAAATTCGAGTTCTTTGTTCTATTAGTGCTGTTTCTGTATTCTTACCTCTGAAAGATGAAAAAGCCGTTTGCTAACTCATGGTTGGGGCTGATGAGATGTGAAATGAGTTTCTATGAGATATGACACCCTTAAGGGAACAGCAAGAGCTTGTCGCATAGCAAGTCCATGTGATTCTCCACAAATATTTCTATGTGCAGCACTAAGGAATTACAATCTGCAAAGCAGGGAGTTTCTAATGAAGCTAACACCGTCCTCGTTTACAGGTCGCATGCCTTCTCCTGTAGGGTTTGGGGAGTCTTCCCTGCACACAATGTTATTTCCTGTCGTCCAAAAGCTGTAGGCTCCCTGCTAACGTCTTCTCCCTCTTTTCCAACAATCATTCTATACTTTGTAGAAAGTATAGGTGGAAAGGTGGAAAAATATCTTTTCCTCTGGGCTTATGGCTGAGGCCACTATAATAAAAGACAGATTAATAAGAGAAAAAGCATGCAAACTTTTTTATACAAGTTTTTTATAACACAGAACCCTTCCTAAGGAAATAAACACCCCAATACACAGCTCAACCCAAGTGATTTTTTTTTTTTTGGATAGTAGATCTGATGAATGGCAGGTTGTCATGGTGACATATAGAAGGGCCGAGAGTGTGAGTTTATGGTTACAAGCTGGAGGAAACATAGCAAGGACCCTTTGTTCAGAGCCTTCTCTGTTGTCCCTTGTCCTCAAAGCCAGCAATGCTCCTTTCCTCTGGGCATAAAGAAGGCACCTCTCACATGAGGGCCTTTTGTCTTGTTTGGTGTTGGGGGAGTCAGGAAATCCTTCCTAGCTTTATGATCTACATCAAAGGAGAATGGTGAGGGACTAGGTGACAGTGATCTTCAGAGCAGCCTCTGCCATTTTGAAAGATACCTTTGGTAGTGACTTTTTTCAAGGAGAGTTTTAGAAAATATATTGTGTGGACAATTAGAGGATACTATTATTTCAGTTCTCATCTTCCTTTGGTAATACATGGTGAGCAGGAACTGGATAGTCCCTAGAAATATGGTGACCTTTTAAAATAATACCTACTATTTTTCACCAAACAAACAAAAACTCAGGAAGCAGTAGAGAGAGAAAATAGAAGTTAATTTTCTCTTTCCTTCCTGTAATGACTTTGTCACCATGCTTGCTGAGCTGTGTGCACTGTCCAATGGAACTTTTCTGAAGTGATGGAATGAATGTTCCAGATCTTCACTGCCCTGTCTGGTAGTGACCAGCTGTTGAGCACAAGAAATGTGCATAATGCAAAAAGAACTGAATTTTTAAAATTTTATTGAATCTTAACTAATTAAGATGTAAATTTCCACATGTGGCCAGTGACTGCTGATACCCAGGCTTAGACCTTCTCTGTCTCTCAGACATTTCTAGCATCTAGAATCATTCTTGTCTCTGGACAAAATGAAAAAGAGATTTTAGAGGATTCTTTTTATTTTAATGTAGAATTTTATATTAAAATGTGCACTCTGTTACAGCTTGAGTGCTGGAAATGGAGGTATTTATGTATGAAACATACATTCATGAGAGTAATACAATGTTAATAAGGAAGAACTAATGGCAAGTAGGACTCAGAACTCCGTAAGAAAAGCACAAATGACAAGTGGTTCAGTAACATTACCCTGAGAAGGTCGAGCTGCAGACTTGGAGATAAAAGAACAGTACTTTGAAATATTTGTGATTGAAAAAAAAAATTACCTATCCTTGCAAAGAGAGACCGAAGAGACAAAAGAAATGTTCAAGGAGCTGTCTCTTCTCTCTGGCAAAAGACAGTGAGGTTCTGAGCCACACTACCGTAATGAAAGTCGAGAAACCATTTCCTCATATTTTTCTGAAAACAGCATTTCTTGAGCTTGTAGAGAGCCCACCGGCTTCTTTCCCTTGCTCCACCTTGGAGAAGGCCCACGTGTCATGCCTTCCCTGTGTTCGACTGATGAGAGAGGGGTCAGCAGAGTGGGACAACCACAGGACTAGTGGAGAGAAGAAGACCAGTGTTTGAGTTCTGCCATGTATGGCAGCCCATGGCCAGCCACTGAAAACCCTTCGGGGCTCTGGCTTTCCTCACTTAATTCCCACAATAACCTCTGGTTATTAGGATTTGCCAGGAAGATGTGAAACCACTCATTAACTGTTTTTTTAATTATACAAGATAATGGGACATTGTCATATGTGTTTATAATGTACTTCACTCACATTCACCCTCCATCATCCTCTTGTCCCCTTGCCCCTTCCAC